GCTATGAAATCGATTTTACTACGCAGTCACAGAGAAAGTTCACAATAGGTGGATCAAATTGCAATGTAAAACTGTCAATCTCTGCGCGAAGATCACGCGATCCTACAGAGATCTGATTCGCTGCTTTAAATAAAATACTAATCCAAGTTCAGTTTCTCGGAATCTCAAACAAAACAGGGCTGTATTTTTCTCAGCAATTCGTGATGGAGTCGCTTCTAAAAAACCTCAAAGAGCATGTAACATGTTCGATTTGTTTGGATACTTACACTAAACCGAAGACCATCGCTTGTCTTCATACGTTCTGCTGTGAATGCCTGGAGAGACATGCACTAACGAGCCAAAAACAAGGGTTTTATCGATGCCCCGAGTGTCAGGCACAAATTGGCATCCCTGAAGGAAAGCGTTTTGATAATCTACCAAGCAGTTTTCTGCACAACAGTTTGTTGAGTCTTCTCGCCGTTCGACGCAGCGGCGAGGGAAATGAAATCAGCTGTAGTACATGCCAGAAGAAGAGCGCTGAGATCAACTACTGCTTTGATTGCGAGAAGTTTATGTGCCCAGACTGTGTGAAAGCACACGAAGTGTTTCGAGAAACTTTGTTTCAAGGACACAAAGTCACACCAGTGCGACAGTTTCAAGCTACAGACTACGAGGCGTTGTTGAAACGGCAGTCATTTTGCTCCGTTAAGTATCACGAGAAAGAAGTGACAAAGTTTTTCTGCGTGGGCTGTCAAAGCTGCGTGTGTCAGGTTTGCATCGCCACTGATCACAAGAGCCACGATGTTGTTCCGCTTGAAAAGGCAGCGGACGATGAAAAAGCAAACATCATTGCCGGAGCAAAGCTGGTCAAAGAGATGAAGGAGGTCTGCCGAGGCGTTATTCGTGAATTTGAAAACACGGAACATGAGTTGGAAACGAAAATTACCACAGCTAAACGCCAAGTCTCCCAAGCAACCGAACAGATGATGGGAAAGCTTCGCCAACTAGAACGTGAAGCCATTACTGCCCTAGAGAAGAGTCGCGTGTCAAGGATTGAGAAATTACATTCTGGAAAAGCATCGGTTGTCTCTTTCGAAAAGCAACTTGACCAAGCATTTGAGTTCAGTAACAACCTGGTTGAAAGAAGCTCAAGTTCAGACATAATGCAAAACAAGAAAAATGTAGAAGAACGAATCAAAGACCTCATCGAGACCACAATGCCTGCACTTCCGGTTAGCTCGTGTGTGGAGTTTGTGTCGACATGTGAACCAGAGAGTTTGAGTCTGGGATTTACGAAATTCAGCAAGACAGATGTGCAAGGATCGACCGTGGAAGGACTGGATCAGAATATCCAAGCTGGTGTAGAGGCAGAGCTACTAATTTGTCTCAAATCAAGCGAAGGAGAAATCAGAAACACTCAGCACACAGATCGTGTTGAAATACACATAGACCCTGCGGATCAGGCGAGGAGTTTGGTGAAGAGTGAAAAAGAGGATGGAAATTTCCAAGCAAAATTTGTAGCAAAAGTACCAGGTACTTATAAAATAGAAGTAAAGATAAATGGACAGAAACTTGCCCGAAGTCCATTTTCTATTCTGGTCAAAGCACGAGAGTTAAATGTTATAGGCAAGTTGGACGTTCAGGGAGAAATGCTGCAAGGTCCTGCCGGCATTGCAGTGAACAGTAAAGGTGTTATTGCAGTGGCTGATCTGAATCGTCATTGTATCCTGGTATTTGATGAGACAGGAAAGTTTGTGCGAAAAATTGGTTCTTATGGAGGCGAGGATGGACAATTAGCGAATCCATCTGACGTCACATTCCTAAACGATGACGAGATTCTGGTTGCTGATCAAGGTAATCACCGAATACAGCAGTTGAATGTTCAGACAGGGAACTTTGTGAAAAGCTTTGGAAAATGGGGAATTGGAGATGGAGAGTTTAAGAATCCTGCAAGTGTTTGTACAACCAGTGATGGATGTTTTATCGTTGTAGCGGATTTTAATAACAGCAGAATTCAAGTGTTTACAATGGATGGTGAACCCGTGTTTAAGTTTGGAGACAGCGGCCCAGAGAGGCTGAATCATCCACTCAGCTGCGTTTGTTACGAGGAAAAGTTCATTGTAACTGACCTTAATAAGAACTGTGTGAAAGTGTTTGATGGGAAAGGACAGTTTCTGTACAAGTTTGGAGAAAAAGGAAACGGTGATGGACAGTTGAATCAGCCGTATGGCTTATGTGTTGACAAGCATAACAACGTTCTCATATGTGATTGGGAAAATAATCGAGTGCAACAGTTTACATTGGAAGGAACTTTCACTGGAAAGATAAGTAGTAATTTTCAATTAGGATGTCCCTGCAGTGTTACCCCAATGCTAGATAATCGGATATTGGTCACAGACTTCGGAGTGAAAGAAGTTTACATTCTGAAATGAATGCCCAATTTTTGAAAGTAACTATCAATTCTTCGTAAGCAAACCTTATGCAAATATCTTTAAGTTTGATTATTTTATTAATTTACAGAAAATTGCGATATGTCATGCGTCGCGAGAGAATTTGAAAGAAAATGGCTAGAATCAACAACTAATGCCTTTTAATTTTTCAAGGAGAGTTCAAAGAATTGTTGATTCGTCACTTCAGATGTGATTGTTTGTGTTTTTAATTAATTATAGTTATAGGACTGCGTGGAGTCCAATTCAGTCTGTAATTAAATGAGTGATTGACAAAATCGGACGACCGCGAAGGGAGAGTCCCATTTGTCAATCACAAGTTTAAGAAAGAAACTAGACATCGGTTATATGTTTTCATGAAAAGACAATGGTTCAGTCACCAAAATGCATGACAACAGCGAGTGCTCATGACACGCACTGCCCACTTATGCAGGCATAACATGTCAACTGTTCTATTCAATTGTCCAGTTACAAGCATAACATCTGCACTGTCCAATTGGTGCTCAAATCGAGCTGCTGGTAACCAATCACATGCATGAATTTTGTCATAATTTTGACAGACCACAAAATCAATTTCAAACGAGATTAAGCTTTTTAACTGCTCAAAGATATAGGAGTATTATAAAGGCAAAAAAAAAGCACATTTCTGCAAAATAAATGTACAGTGGCATTGATTAATGTAAATTGTTGATGATAATTTTTACTTATCAACTTTACATTTTTTCAGCATGTAGTAGACTTTTCTGTGAGCATATTTTGGTAGAGGTTTGGTTAAGTTAAATAATGGTAATTCTCTCATCAGATGGAGCATGCCTTTGTACCAAATTTTTAAATTAACACATTGACAGCAGCTTGCATGATTAAGATGTAAACAATTCGACAATTTCGTAGTACTTTGTTGCTTTTGGAGGAATAACATTTAAATTGTTATTAGAAACCGTCTAAAGACTGAGGAGTATTTTGAATGCATTAAGTTAGCATTTCTATTTAGGTTTTTATGCATGCAGGAGTTTTCATGAATAAGTTCTTTTAAGTAATATGAAAATGTAGACTGATTGAATGAATTTCTGATATTATAGGATATTTTCCAG